GTCCCATTAATTGATCTCTTAATGTTTATTTTTTCTGAATTTTGGTGTATATGATCTCGAAGTATAAACAAACAAGTTTGACGGTTGGATCGTTGAGTAGCTTTAAATTTATTTATTTTGTACGTATAACACTTAAGAAATTGAATAGTATATGTATTTATTACTAGCTTTAAATATTTTTTCAGACTTTGCGCGACCAATTGCTATTTCGTCACGCAAAGTATACTCTCAAAATTTGGGTGTGTACCAAAAATGGGAATTTTAAAAAAACAAAAATTTCGACTTTGCGCGACCAATATATAAATATTCGTCGCGCAAAGTATACTCTAAAAATTTGGCGGGCACCAAAAATGGGACGCGGGAATATTTTGGTCGCGCAAAGGAAAATTTCGTCGCGCAAAGTACACTTGCGCGACATTAACTTTCGTCGCGCAAAGTACACTTGCGCGACATTAACTTTCGTCGCGCAAAGTACACTTGCGCGACATTAACTTTCGTCGCGCAAAGTACACTTGCGCGACATTAACTTTCGTCGCGCAAAGTACACTTGCGCGACATTAACTTTCGTCGCGCAAAGTACACTTGCGCGACATTAACTTTCGTCGCGCAAAGTACACTTGCGCGACATTAACTTTCGTCGCGCAAAGTACACTTGCGCGACATTAACTTTCGTCGCGCAAAGTACACTTGCGCGACATTAACTTTCGTCGCGCAAAGTACACTTGCGCGACATTAACTTTCGTCGCGCAAAGTACACTTGCGCGACATTAACTTTCGTCGCGCAAAGTACACTTGCGCGACATTAACTTTCGTCGCGCAAAGTACACTTGCGCGACATTAACTTTCGTCGCGCAAAGTACACTTGCGCGACATTAACTTTCGTCGCGCAAAGTACACTTGCGCGACATTAACTTTCGTCGCGCAAAGTACACTTGCGCGACATTAACTTTCGTCGCGCAAAGTACACTTGCGCGACATTAACTTTCGTCGCGCAAAGTACACTTGCGCGACATTAACTTTCGTCGCGCAAAGTACACTTGCGCGACATTAACTTTCGTCGCGCAAAGTACACTTGCGCGACATTAACTTTCGTCGCGCAAAGTACACTTGCGCGACATTAACTTTCGTCGCGCAAAGTACACTTGCGCGACATTAACTTTCGTCGCGCAAAGTACACTTGCGCGACATTAACTTTCGTCGCGCAAAGTACACTTGCGCGACATTAACTTTCGTCGCGCAAAGTACACTTGCGCGACATTAACTTTCGTCGCGCAAAGTACACTTGCGCGACATTAACTTTCGTCGCGCAAAGTACACTTGCGCGACATTAACTTTCGTCGCGCAAAGTACACTTGCGCGACATTAACTTTCGTCGCGCAAAGTACACTTGCGCGACATTAACTTTCGTCGCGCAAAGTA